TGTCTGGTTTTCTAGGTGGGCTTCATGCTTGAGTCATACCTCCAGTTTATTTTGTTCTGGTTACTTTGGAGATGGGGTCTTGTGAACTATTTGCCCTGGCTGGCCTTGTACCATGATTCTCCTGATCTCTGCCTCCCAAGTAGCTAGGATTACAGTCATAAGCCACCAGTAACCAGCTCCCGTTTGTTGAGATAGGCATCTCATTAACTTTTTTCCTGGTTTTGCCTTGAACTGCAATCCTCCGAATATCTGCTTCTAGGGTGGCTGGGATTAGAGGCATGAACCACTGCATCTAGCCTTATTCAACTAATCTTGACTTATGAATATTTCAGGTAGTACAAAAAGAGGATGCTCTGGAGTATAACAGGTATGATCACACCTTCCTTCATCATTTCAAATATGAAAGTCTTGACTGAACCAATCTCTGGTCCTGCTTCCTCACTTATTAAGGGTACATCATTCAACTACAACATACAGCTACAGTGAGGATTGTTAAGACATGGAAATACAGTTAAAGCTTTTAGTAAGATATATGGTAAAATAAATACAAAGTTCTTCATTTTTAATCCAACTTCTTTAATGTCTGTTCTTTTCAATAATTTTACATTTACCCAACAAACTTTTGAATACTCATTCTGAGCACTAGGTACTGTGCTAAGTCCTAAAGATAAAATAGTAAACAAAAATACCATGTCTGTCTTCATGTAGCTTACCATCATAGAGGCAGTGGTACAGGCATTAATCAAACACTTCAAATGTCAACTGTGCTAAGTTCTATGAAGGAGAGAGCTAAGCAAGCAAATAATATTAGGGTTTGCTCTTATCGTGGAAATTCTCACTTGTAGGGTAAGTAGGCAATAAGTAGGCACAGTGAAATGAGGAAGACTATTCCAGGCAGAAAGAAAAAAAAATGTATCTTTTGAGTTTGTAATATATTTTCATTTCTACCCAACTGATTAACTTGGGACAACAAACTGAAGCAACAGTATAGCCAGCACAGAACATGAAGGACCAAAGATGCAGAGCTTTGTAGGGCACATTATCCTGAAAGCAATAGTAAATTATTAAAGTGCTGTGGGGTTTATGTTGGCAGTCATTGTTGCTGCTGTTGGGTGCAAATGGAATCACTTTATTTCGCAAAAGTACGGGGACTCTATGAAAACAAATTTGAGGTGGAACAAGAAAATGCCCTTCAAAATATGAAGGTACAATAAAGACCTTTCAAGAAACAAAAGCTGCCTGAGTTAACTACCAGCAGACTTACACAACAAGCAATGTTAAAAGTTCTTCAGGATGGAGGAAAATGAATTAAGAAGATGTACCAAACAACTGGAGGGAAGAGGGCACAAGAAAAAGAGAAAATGTATGGATAAACATGAAAGGATACTGTCTCTTCAAAGCAACAATAATACTGTGGCATTTGTAACTATGAAATATAACAACTACAGTACAAAGGACACACAGCAAATAGAGCTGAATTGTTTTAAACTGCTTGCACTGATCTTAAGATGGTAAAAACATTTATACAACACAGACTGCAGTAAATCAAACACATATATATTGCAAACTACTGGGTAAACCTTTTTAAAAAATACTATCAAGTACAACTAACATTAAGTATAACTAATAAACGGAATCAAATCAAACAGTAAGAAGTGATAACAAATAAATCAGTAAGAAGTACTTCACTGAGCTAAAAGAAGGTAGGAAAAAGAGAAAATAAAGGAGAGAACAGGAAAAAAAGTAACATGGCAGACTAAATGATAACAATGGATAAAGTCTTCAAATTAGATAAAAGAGTAAGATCTGAATAAAACACTTTTATGACATACTTTAACCGTAAGGATGCAAATACTTAAAACTTACACAGCTACACCAAAGTATTACATAAAGTAGATATAAAGTATTAATACAGATAGCAACATTTTATAACTATAAAATATCACTTAGTCATGAATAGCTATCCTAAATTTTACACAAAGAACTACAGAGTTTCCAAGTATATAAAACTTCTCCCCCAATCTTTTCTATTCTCTATCCTGCTTTTTCTTTAATTCACTGCACTTTTCCACAACCTAGTAGTTTAATTATTTTTTGCTGGACTGGTGGAGTGGCAAGTGGTGGAGTGCCTGCCTAGAAAGCGTGAGGCCCTGAGTTCAAACTCCAGTACCACCAAAAGCAAAAACAGTTTATTTGTTGCTTGCTCACCTACCCACAACACAATGTAAGTGCCACAAAGGTAGAGAATCAGTCTGTGTTGATCACACTTTATCTACAATAACACTGACTGAAATTTGTGAGTGACTGGCATATATTAGGCACTTAATAAATATTTGCCAAAAAAATTGGTAAAACTGAGGGTCATGGATGTAACTCAGTGATAGAGTACTTGCCTAGCATGTTACCCTGAGTTTGTGATCCCAGCACTAACCCCCAACCCCAAAAAGATGGTAAATTTGGACTAGGACATGGGGGCTCAAGTTGTAGAGTGCTGGCCTAGCAAGCACAAGGTACTGAGTTTAATCCGCAGTATGGGGAGGAAGGAAGGGAGGAAGGGAGGGAGGATAAAGGTAAAACTGCCATTAGTGACTTATTTTCTTAGTGCTTATTTTCAAAGTTTATGCTATATATTCATTTTCTTCAATTAGGAGATTCTTTAATTTTAAATAGTATTTAGTAAATTTCTGTCAGCCAAGATTTTGCATGAGAAGGTAAAACAAAAAGCTTGGAAAATGTTGCTGGAAAATATACTTCCTGTTTATGAAACAAAAGCTCAAAAATTAAAAATCATCAAAACAGAACTTTCTCTAGTAAACATATATTGATTCACATAAAAATACAATTATATGAGCTTTCATATTTATTCAACTTCACAGAAAATCCAAAAGTGTGTCTGAAAAAACTGGTTACCTAATAACAATTATTCGTTATAGTAACATAATACTATGTGGTAGAGAGATATACCTAAATTAAACAAATTGTTAAATTCCCAACATTCTTCCAAGTGAGCAAAAGGAATTCTTAAAACTTACAAGTTGTAAGAAGATACAGAAAGTAATTTAAACTCTAAAACATGGAACAAGTTTTATAGCCACATTTTTAATTTACATACACAGTGGAGATCACTGAGAAAGCTTCCTGTTGCACTGCAGCAAGAGATTTTTATTGGAGTGTACATTAAACAGACTTGCTACAGAGTGCAGCAAGGTAACCTCACTGAGGAATCATGAAATTTTTGTAGTGGAATTTGTTACAGTGAGCTAAGTATCTTAAGACATCATACAGTACATATTTTAAAAATGAACACTGTCACTGCAGTGTGCTAGCAATTGCTAGCAATTAACGTCTTATACATATTTAAATTTTATTTTAATTAAAGTATGTGGCTCTCCAAATGTTAGTACATGAAATGTTAAGCTTAAACATAATAATAAGATAAGCCCCTAAAAGGAGACTCGGGACATCAAAACTTTGAACGTTATTGCACCTATTTTTCTACAGAAAAAAAAAAATGAAAAATTTACATCATAATCCTCCCCAAAAGTGAACAGACAGGTAAAATTACAAACTTACTGGCATTGAACATAAACAAAATCTACAATGAACATTTTTTGTGAAATGATATACAGCATTAATGTGCAATGAAATTTGACTAGCTATGATCATGCAAACAAAAAGCCTCCACAAATCATTTTTTCATGTTTTATAAAACGGTCAAAGATATATTTCCATAAATATTTCCGGTGAAGTTTAGTCAATGACAAAAATACAAAGCTATCCTTTATTCTTTACGTTATAGATTTCAAAACATGCTTTTGCACTGCTTAAAGAGAAATAGCATCGTTTGGGAGAAATGAGCTAATGAAACATTTAAAAATCAATGTATCATGATCCAACTTTAGCTGCCTTGTTATATAGCAGCCTCCCATAATCACTAGTGTCAGTATCATTGTAAATGAAGAAAAGTTAAACACTGAAAGATTAAGATACAATTCAAAACATTTTTTTTAAAAATAAAAAGTTATTTCATAAACATGAAGAAATCTTTAAAAGAAAAATAATACATCAACTGTGATACACACTGGAAAATAGTAAATTGTCATTTTCTAAAATAGTAGCTTCTTTATTATATCTCCCATCTATTATAACCAATTTTGGAAGTATATCTCAAACATAATGATTTATTTATATGAAATGCTCCCATAATCACTGTGATAAAATTAATAAGTTACAATACAATTTTTCTTTTCTGGTGTTAATAAACCATGGAAAAAAACCAAAAAGAACAGCACCTGAAATACTAAACTGAATTTAGGAAAGTATTAAGTAGTAACATATACGTTTTGGTTCAAAATACAGTTTATACAACTGTATAAAAGATGGATACTGCCTTAAGTAAACTGTTTCTATATTTTGTAGATTACAATGAAGAAGAGGGGTGTCGGGGGGAAATCTGCTCTAAATCCAAAAAAACTGCTTTCCCGATCTGGACCGACTGGGATTCCATTCAGTGTCTGTGAGAGCGTGACGATGATGATACCTACAGCAGCTGGCACTTCTACCATGCCCCTTCACAAAAAAACAATTTTTTGGCTCCAAAATAAAGTACAATAATAAACTCTTGGTGAAAAACTATGTTATGGGGAAATCTATCATATACTATGGCTAAATATGAATTTACAGAGAAAAGCACATCCCATTTTCAGCACTTTTTTCATAAACATGCAACTCACTATAAAATACAAAACACTTGGCTTTCAAGAACAGATTTATAAAGACACACTGCATCAATAAAATTTTTTTCTGATTAACTTTACATTGTTATGGAGAACTGGAACTTTTCTAATGTGTATATATCAGATATTATAGTGTAATAATTTTTATTTTCTGAACATAATGTTCAAGAGGAAATATCTATACACAATAACATTCTAGACTATTAAAAACTCAAATTACAGAATTTTATTGATACAGTAGATTAATAAAAACTGAAAGGGGGTGATAAAATGGGATAAAGAATTCAGTACATTATTTTATAACACACTCTTTAAAATTAAAATATTTTAAATCTCTTCTTAAAATTTTCATTGCCATGAAAGGCCAGAGAATTCTGGGACCAATACTGAGGTGTAAAGTAATCAAACAACTTCAGGACTATTTCACAATTTGCATGATGTCCTCGCATCAGAGGCATCATTCTTATGTGATGGCAAACAATTTAGCACCTCTGAAGATTAAGGGTGCCCAGGAGTAAACACCAAGTAAAATACATAAGGAAGAGAGACCATTCAACTCTCCAACAAACAGTGACATCAAGAAAATGACACCAATTGTTGAAAAACATTTTTTTTCACAGTAAAATTGCAGAGAATACAAATACAAACACTGACAGAGTACTGCTTAAGATCTATCCTAACAAACTCTTCAAATCAATAGATCCAATAAACAGTTGGGTACTGTCAGTTTAAAGCCGCAGATAAAAGCTATACAAGCACTTTAGAAGTCAGAAACATTAAAAAGAAAAAGAAGGGGAAAAAAAGATTATTTACAAGTTTCTTCTTTAGTTTATGTGTCTACATAGCCATCACACATGACACTTTCACAAGACTCCAGAGTCAATCTTATCACCATGTGTATGGCTAAATCATGTGACAAGTCCGAGGTCCAACTGTCCACACTTCGGCAGTCCCATTTTGTGCATCAGAGGCTCTATTCAGCCTCACACTTGACCAAAAAAAAAAAAAAAAATCCAAAGCTTTCAAAAAGAAAGTTAATTACTCTGTTCACCGCCTTTCCCTTTTAGAACTTCTCCGTCGTACCTTAAGAGAAAAATCACCAGATGCTTAATTAAAATGGGTACATAATCAAAGGACAGTAATAATTATAATTTATAACTAATCTTAATTCTCACTTATTCCTTTCTTTGTTTTTCTTTCCCTGAAGTCTTTCTTCTTTTAACTTTCTGCCTTGGCTTTGCATATTTAGGTCTGACTCCTTACATGCATGCTATAAGTAGTCTTCCCCAGGCAGCAAAATTATTTTACTTTTTCTATTTAATAAGTTTAGAGAATAACTCACAGAAGCCAAGGTCCACAGTAAGAAAAACAGCTACACACATTTTCATTATCTTTCTATTTATGTTTATGCAGTAAAGAAAACACTTGAAATTCATGAATTGCACTCACAGATGTCTTTCTGGGAAAGCAGTTATTGAATATAGTTTCTATTAACTACCAAATACATTAAAAACAACCTGAAATTCAAACATATTGCCATTTTCTGGCAAGCACTAATGAAAGTTTGAAACTAGTTCAAAAAAGGTCAGAATAAACTAAAGGATTATAAAAAAGAATTGGATTTAAATTTAATTAATTTACGGTGCAGTTTTCCTCTGATGAAAACATCAATTACTATGGAATCTTCACTCTTACTTTCATATCCCCAAACAGAAACTTTAAGAAAGAAACCAAACTAGGCATAGCTTAAGTGGTTGGAGTGTCAATATTGAACTGCTACCTGTACTTTTCTACACTCAGTTGAACTTGTTATTTACATGTTCGCTAGGCTACACCCATTATTCCCACTTAATTTCAGATTCCCATTAAAGTTATTTTCTCTATTATCCAAAATCTAGTAGACAAAGTGACACTATAAACTAATGAGAAAACATATAAATAATTGGAATTATAGATAATAACAAGTGCTAAATGGCTCTGACAAAATATTTACTGGCTCTACTTTTATATTCCATACTCCCACAGACCACACTTTAATAAACACATACATTTACGGCAGAAACTTCCTCTTCCTCTGTTTCTTCCTGTGGCATATCATCATTGACAGGAGAGCTACCTTGGAACACGTCTAATTCTTCACTTGAATCATTTTCTTTAGTAGCTGCTTGTTTGGAGCGTCCTACACGGCTAAAGTAAAACATATGTAAAATGAAATGAACATTCTGATCTTAAGTTGTAAGTGACCTATATGCAAAGATCTGCCAAAGAACAAGTTTGACTAAGACAGTATCATAAAGGATTCCCAAACATAACCTGAAGTCTGCCCCTCCTTTCATCTTTCCCAACTTAGTAAAAATCTGTTATTTGCTGAGCAGCTCAAAGCAGAAATTATTTGAGCAGAAAACAGCATGCCAGTCTCTACCTGGCTCTACAGATTCCACTTAACAGAAATCCCAAATCCATTTACTTCTCTCCACTTCCATTGTTACTACCTAATTCAAGCTATTCCTACCTCTTACCTCTTTTTTTTAATAAAGTAATCTTTTAAAAACATAAGAAAACAGCTAAGGTCACTTCTCATATATAGCTCTCCAGTAAAGAGAATAATTTTGTAAAACCTCATCACGTAGTATACAAAATCCTGTAATGCAAATGGTCCTTGCCAACTTGTCTATTATCATCTTTCTACTTACTTCCACCTCTTGACAACTGCAATCCTGCAAACTCTTGGCCTTTCTTTACCTCTCTAAACCAAATGTAGTTTCTCTCAACATTGGACTGCTCCTCCTCTTCCTTTTCTCTAACTCCTACTGTTCTCAACTTACCAATTTGTCACTTTCCAAAGAGAAAACTTCCCCAACTCTGCAATCCTCCTCTTATACTGTTATAGCACCCTAAACTTTTCCTTCAGGGCACGTATCAGAAATCATAATTCCATATTTACATATGATTATTTAATGACTGCATGCTCATTACTTAATGACTCATGAAGATTAGAACCATGCCTGTTATGTACCACTACACAGGCATAACACAGAAATGGTGACAATCTTTTTCAATTCCATTGAAGTCAGAACACAAAAAAACAGACAAATCATAACATATACTAGTATTCAGGCTCTAAAAAGCTTCCAAGAGAATGGAAGATAGGCTGACAAGACAAATAAAACCTCCTGTGTAATTACTTTGTAAGAGAAATACTTAGATTGCAAATATTCATGGAAGACTTGTGCCATTTTAGGAGATAACCACAGCAATCATTTAAGCCCTTAATTTTAAGATATCCAGATATAAAAAAAAAGTTATAAAGCTGAGAGAAATTTAACTTCTGTTGTTTCATTTCAGGAGATAACCACAACAATAATTTAAGCCGTTAATTTTAAGATATCCAGATATAAAGAAACAAGTTATAAAGCTGAGAGAAATTTAACTTCTGTTGTTTCTTTGTTATAAAGTAAATCACAAGAATTTACTATTCCTTAAGACTCTTTTGTTTAGAAATAGTGAGTTTGCTTGGTTGAATCCAAACACATTTATGAAGTTGCCACTATAATGTACTTACCTTTATTTTTTTAACCTGAGAGAAAAATTACATGGAGGAAGGCATGAAGTACTGGCTAGACATTCAGGCAACTTTTCCTTTTCCTGTGGAATACACAGGAATAGGAAAAACTCTAAGATATTTACCCAAGTATTTAACCAAGGTATGCTGGCAACTCTAAAAGTCAAGCTATTGATATAATTACATCCTGGATTACTCTCAGAAAAAGTGATAGAAATATGGTATTCTATTTCTACTTACATAACTGAGAAATACTACCCAAAATACAAACTACAGTATTGATGTTCTTCTCATATTAATTTTGTAGCTGTAGTGACGAGGCAACCTGATTAATGTGTGACAGTTATTTTAAAATATACTCTTTAGATACCGTGAAGTCTGTATAAGAAACAACAAACTAATTGGAATTCATTTATATAAAAATTTGCCTAGGCCTATAAAAATGTACAAATAATAACTGAGGGTCAATTGGGATATTAATCCCCTAGGTAAGTTTATGAAGATGTATGTTACCTAGTATAATGGGAATAAGTATTTGGAATTTAAATACAGCAATATGTATGTTTACAAATTTATGAACTTTTTCAAAATAATTTGAAATTGGCTTGAAATTTAATATTATTTACAACTTACACATTTTTTTTTGGTTGTGATGGTGATGGCGTTTTTGATGGTCTTCCTCGTCCTTTCTGTGGTGTGGATTGTGTGGATTCAACTGCACTAGTTTCAGGAGATTCTGCTCTGCTTTGGGGAAGACCCAAATGTGGATAGCATCAAATTAGGATTCACAATATGGTAAGTGAATAGATGCAGTTTAGTTATACGTACTTACCTCTGTTGTGCTCTTCTTGATACTCGGTGCTGTTTGCTTTTTGACTTCTGTTCTGTATTTCCACTTTGTCTTTCTTCATCTTCCTCTTCTTCTACTGCAGAAGGTCCAGATTTTTTTTTGTTCCCTTTTTTAGATGTTTTCATTGTTGGCTCTTCTTTTGGTGTCCCTCCACCAAGAGGTTTTGGTGGCCGGCCTCTTTTGCCCTTTTTTGGTGGACTGTTCTGCTCATCCTCGTTTTCTAACAGATCTTCTTTGAGTCTCTTTTCCTCAGGCCACTGCTGCTCATCTGATTCTGAAGCTGTATGGCCTCTTTTCCGACCTCGCTGACTGCCTTTAGGTTTCTGTTCCTGTACCAATTTAGTCAAGTCATCCATACCTAATTTCTCCTCTGGATCTGTAACAGGTGTTTTTTTTCGGCTTCTAGGCTTCTCCAATTCAGACTGGGGGAGAAAGGAATCACAGTTTTTAAAATTAAGTTTAATTCTTTTAAATAAAGTTATTAGAGGTAGGAGTATTAGGTAGAGCGCTTGCCTAGCATGCACAAGGTCCTGGGTTCAATCCCTAGCACCATAAACAAATAATAAAATTGTTAGTATGCATATTGTGAACAATGAAACAAAAAATGTGTTACCTAGTTTAGTCACCACTATGAATCTAAATATATAAATCTTAAATGCATCAGAACTGCAACTATTTACTACTTTGCTATTTTGGTTTTCTGAATCAAGGTTTCACTGCATTGCCCAGGCTGCTCTCCAACTGTGGGCTTCAAGTAATCTTCCCACCTCAGCATTTGGTGCAGTTGGGTCTACAAGCTTGTACCACCACATAAAGCTATTTAACTAGTTTTTTAATTAAAAAAAAATTCCTGGAGTAATTTTATACTTATTTTAAAGCTAGAGTGCCTCAAAGAGAAATTTCTAAAGATCAGTATTTTATTAAATTATATATCTTAGTGAAGTAGTATTTCATAAAAAGAATGTTCTGAATTTACTGCTTGAGCTAAAGGATAATTAATCTAAAGTATCTGTTTTTAACAGTCAATTTAAGTAATTATACCACACAGTACATAATACAACATAAAATATCAACTATATTGTATGTCATGTTTATAACATCATAAAAGAACTATTTTTTATTTCTAAATAAGGCTGAAAGATACAAAATATATTTATATTCATCATACATTAAAAATCCTAGGCCAGGCAGGATAGCCCACACCTATAATCCTAGCTACTAGGGAGGTGGAGATTGGGAGGATTGTTTCAAGAACAGCTTAGGCAAAAATTTAGGAAGACCCCCTCCTTCTCAACCAACAAGTAGAGCTTGGTGGAATGCATTGTAATCCCATGACAGCAGAGGCTCAAATCAAGATGATTTTGGTCCAAGATCAGCCTCGGATAAAAATGGGAGACCCTAACTGAAAAATAACTAAAGCAAAAAAGGGCGGAGAGCATAGCTCAAATGGCAGAGCACTTGTCTATTAAGCATTAAGGTTAAGTTCAAACCCAATACTGCAAAAATAAGTAAATGCATGAATAAATGAGCATTTTTGAAAATCTGAAAACACTTCTCAATTAGAGATACAGTTTCTTTCTAGGCTTAACTAATAAACTACACTTTTTTTTAAATCCATGGATTTCAAATATAAAATAAAGTACTAGTCTATATTCAGCGCACTTATACATGAAGGAGCAGGTGAAGATTGAGAAAATTCTCTAGGAACCCAAGGATAAGAATATATGTAGGAATACTCATAATGCAAATTTAATTTCCAAATTTATACTCTTCAAAATTAGTGAAAACAAAACAAACCATTCTTATCGCTCAACTGCCCAAGTATGCCCTTGGTATTATTCTTTTTGTTTGTTTACTGGACTCTTATTTAGTGTTTTCATCTACATTCTTCTACCCTTTTGTAGATGTTTAAGTTTTACTTTGGATTTGCTATGGACTGAATTGTGTACCACCCATTCATAGTTGTGGTGCTATTTGAAGATGTAGCCTTTAGGAGATAATCTGGTTGATATGAAGTCATGAGGATGGTATCCTCATGATAGAGGTTTCTCCCGCTCCCAGCATTGAAGTTCTAAACTTTTTCCTACCCTCACCCTCAAAGACACATTCAATTATTTCAGAACTACTGATTTATGACATTTCCTTTATTTTGAATTATGTTTCAAAAAATAAAGGCCTATCGTGATGGCAACATATTTTACTGAATACAACTAAATATACTTGTGTCTAATACTATCTTTATTACTCATTTTTATATACATTTATTCTTCCACATGGACTTGAAATAAAAATCAAACTGAAATTTTGCAATTATTTGTTTGCTTGGAAAAAAATGTCTTTTTCTAATGCAGGAATACAGTGTGTCTTCTTTCTCTTCAAGTCTTTTATGTAATTCATTTTTAAGCTTTCCCATATAGGTTCACACTACTTTTTAAGATTATTTAATATTATGTTTATACTGATCTAGTTTATTATTACAGAGGTTTTACTGCAATAAAGAAAATTCCCTTCCCCCAAGAATATATCTTATATAAACAAAATTACCAGAAAAAAAGTTACATGCAAACATATACATACATATGGATACTGCACTCTTATTCTTTCAATTGTTTCTCTTATTTTTCTAAGACTATAAAATTAACATGAATTTGTCTCTTCCTTTTTATTGCTATAACCTCTAACTTATTTCATGTCTTTTTGAGTTGGCCAAACACTCTAGAAGAATTTTAAATAACAGAGTGTTTGTACCCGATTTTTTTTGGGGGGGGGGTAGTACTGGGAATTAAATCAAGGAGGGCCTCATGCTACCATGTGAGCCATGTCCCAGTACTTTCTGCTCTCGTACCCATAGGGTCTCTCACTAACTCTGCCCAAGCTGGCCTCAAATCCTAATCTATCTTTACCTCTCGAGTAGCTAGGATTACAGGAATGCACCACCATGCCTGGTTTATTGCTGTTTTTAAGTAAGAATGTTTATTAAAGAAGTATCCTTCCAGCAGTTTACTAAGAGCCCATATATAGTAGACTTGTTATCTTCAGGTATGTGTTTCTAAGTAGACCACTGTTGAGGAAAAACCATGAATGTTCAGGAAGCACAGAGTTCAGTACTGTACTGCAGATGCTTGACTCACTTTTCCCATAATGCCTCCACCCAACTTACACTGAAGACATGGTGGTGCCTTTCTACAATACTAAAATTTTCACTTTACCACTTAAATTAACCATTTTACATGCTATTGTGTCCGGGAGGATTACTGTAACTTGCACCTTTTGGGGCACCATTTGCTTTTTATTTTCACAAAATGAAAGGCAGGGAAACAGCAGATCACTTGATTAAAATACAAGTAACAGTGATGCAGGACTGAGAGCTTCTCTGCATCAACTGAGCTGGGTAATGCACACATGAAAATTAAAATTTTTCATTTTTTGCAGTTCTTTTGAATTTATTTACTTATTTTGCCCATGCTTGTTAAAATCCATGTGCAATAAATTGTAATAAGATAGGCTAATTGTATATCAAGAATGTACTTTAATTCTTGCTGTTTTCTTGGCATGATCTGAGATTATCTTGTTTCTGTTGTCTTTTTTTTTTTAATTTGGTATATATATCTGTTTACTATATTGTATGAATATATAGTAACATTTACGTATCTTTATATACCACTGGAAAAGACCTATGATTACATTTAGTTGATTAGTATTTACTTAGTTTCTCTGAATAAACTAAAAATTAACTGTTGTTATGAAAAGATTGGAAATTAAGAGAAATACTGAATTATAACCAAGTTTAAAATATCATCTCTGATTTTAAATGCTACATTCCTCTTGACACTCAAATATCTAAAAAGGCAAATGGATTTCTTTATGCTTTGGAAAAGGCTATATATAAGCAAGAAATTCAAAGTACATTTTCTTGAGAATACCATAAAATAATCTGATATCCTAAAACACAATTCCTAATTTTTAATTACATTTTTTTAAGAACACAGAGGAAGACTGGAGTATTACTCAAGGTAGAAAATTGCCTAGCAAGCATGAGACCATGGATTCAACCCCTGTACTGCAAAACAAGACAAAAAAAAATAAAACACCATGAGGGGTATAAAACTGAGGTTAAGAGCTGGAAATAGAGAAAATGTTATTTATAAAACTAAATGTTCAAATATAAATGTATATAGAGAATAATTCATTTGCTGTGAATTTTCAATGTGAAGCTGGTAGTATGCAAACAGTACTCTTTCACTATAATCTACTGGACTTTATGAACTCATGTCTCATCATGCTTACCTCTTTAATGATATTTTGGTTGAAACTAGCTTATTAATATAATAAGGTTCTTCTGGCACCTCTAAAAATGGACCCAGTGTTATAGGCTATCCATGCCACAACAGAGAGTGAAAGGCCTCTATTACAATAATGCAAAAAAAAATCTCAAGAACTAGAAATTCAAAACCGTTTTATGAAAAATGAAATAGACTTCATTCTGCATTGCTCTAAAGGTTTTTTGGGTTTTTTGGGGGGGGATATGGAATGCATAGGATAATAAAAACCTCAAGAATTAATAAAAACCATTTTTCTCAACTTTTGTGGGGGTAGGAAGAATGGTCTATGGGTACAGGTAGCCTAGTTCACTTTTCCAACAAACAAGCTCTCTACCTAATGGCACTTTCAGTTGTGATGTGAGTAAGAAACAGGACCAGTACATTTTCTAATTCAAAGATTCTCCTCTATAAACCCAGATGGCAGGATTCCTTTCTGGCTAATTTATCAATATTTAAATCTGCTTAGGTGAAACTTAAACAGAAAATGAATACCAGAATTTATAGTATAGATAGTAAGAATTTTAGATGATAATTTTTCCTGAAGTTGAAAGAAAACCTGATAATAACTGGGAGTGTTAGGACAGATGAAGACAAGAAGGGCAGTTTCAAAGGAAGCTAAAAGAATTATTTCACTGTTAACTTCTACCTGTTTATCAAGTAAACTCAAACACATTAACTTTATTGTTTGATAACAATTAGCCAAAATTATGAATCAGTATAGCAACAATGAAACTACAGCAATAATTCATTTGGGCTAATTCATTTTATTCTGACAAACCCAATCAGTTAAATATCCATATTTTACAGATAAGGAAACTGATTCAGAGAGCCTAATCAGCTATTCAGGAATCTTTAGAACTGAATTGAAAAGTCAAAGTGAATTATTTGAGAATAATTATGTAATTAATTATTAAGTTCACTGAATTGTATAAGAGTACATATGTATTTTATATCTGTACTAAAAGCTTTTCCAAACACTCCTCAAATGACATTGACAATTGTGTCTATTATAGAAGTTATTTCTATTGAAACTTAAAAACTGAATAAGGACTTTATGAAAACTGTGTATTACCATTACCAGAAGCCTATTTAGTAAATGGTTCAAGAAATGAAGTAAATGGAGGAGCTTTCAGACCCTCACCCATTCCCGTTTGTGGCTGTGTCTAAACATACTGCATTAAAAAAACAACAACAAAAAAAACACAGCAAACAAAAACAAACCCAGCAGTTCTGAATATGGAACTGGCATGTTTGATTTCCAAAGACCCTAAGAATTGTGATTACTTATCAGAATGACAAGAATCACATGAATTCAATATATGTAAATTACAAAGCAATAGCAATAAAAACAGCATGGTACTTGGCACAAAAACAGACATGAAGACCAGTGGAACAGAATAGAGGACCCAGATATGAAGCCACACAACTATAACCAACTTGTCTTTGACAAAGGCACTAAAAATATACGATGGAGAAAAGACAGCCTCTTCAATAAAAACTGCTGGGAAAACTGGTTAGCAGTCTGCAAAAAACTGAAACTAGATCCATGTGTATCACCCTATACCAATATTAACTCAAAATGGATCAAGGATCTTAATATCAGACCCCAAACTCTAAAGTTGGTACAGGAAAGAGTAGGAAATACTCTGGAATTAATAAATATAGGCAAGAACTTTCTCAATGGAACACCAGCAGCTCAACAACTAAGAGCAGCATCGATAAATGGGACTTCATAAAACTAAAAAGCTTCTGCTCAACAAAAGAAATGGTCTGTAAACTGAAGAGACCACCCACAGAGTGGGAGAAAATATTTGCCAGCTACACATCAGACAAAGGACTGATAACCAGAATATATAGGGAACTCAAAAAACTAAACTCTCCCAAAATTAATGAACCAATAAAGAAATGGGCAAGTGAACTAAACAGAACTTTCTCAAAAGAAGAAATTCAAATGGCCAAAAAACACATGAAAAAATGCTCACCATCTCTAGCAATAAAGGAAATGCAAATTAAAACCACACTAAGATTCCACCTCACCCCTGTTAGAATAGCCATCATTAGCAACACCACTAACAACAGGTGTTGGCGAGGATGCGGGAAAAAAGGAACCCTCTTACACTGCTGGTGGGAATGTAAACTAGTACAACCACTCTGGAAAAAAATTTGGAGGCTTCTTAAAAAGCTAAACATTGATCTACCATTTCATCCAGCAATACCACTCTTGGGGATATACCCAAAAGAATGTGACACAAGTTACTCCAGAGGCACCTGCACACCCATTTTTATTGCAGCGCTATTCACAATAGCCAAGTTATGGAAACAGCCAAGATGCCCCACTACTGACAAATGGATTAAGAAAATGTGGTATCTATACACAATAGAATTTTATGCAGCCATGAAGAAGAACGAAATATTATCATTCGCAGTAAATGGATGGAATTGGAGAACATCATTCTGAGTGAGGTTAGCCTGGCCCAAAAGACCAAAAATCACATGTTCTCCCTCATATGCAGACATTAGATCAAGGGCAAACACAACAAGGGGACTGGACTTTGATCACATGATAAAAGCGAGAACAAACAAGGGAGGTATGAGGATAGGTAAGACACCCAAAAAACTAGATAGCATTTGTTGCCACCAACACAGAGAAGCTAATGCAGATACTTTAAAGCAACTGAGGCCAATAGGAGAAGGGGACCAGGAACTACAGAAAAGGTTAGTTCGAGAAGAATTAACTTAGAAGGTAACACACATGTATAGGAAAGCAATGTGAGTCAACTCCCTGTATAGCTGTCCTTATCTCAACTAGCAAAAACCCTTGGTCCTTCCTATTATTGCTTATACTCTCTCTTCAACAAAATTAGAGATAAGGGCAGAATAGTTTCTCCCTGGTAGCGATGGGTAAGGGGGGGGTAAGGGAGAGGGCGGGGGGAAGGGGAGAGAAATGACCCAAACATTGTATGCATATATAAAAAAATAAAAATTAAAAAAATATATATATGTAAATTACATGGTAGAGGGTAATTAAACTCAAACTTGTAACAAGAAGCACTAAAGAAAAATCAAATGCCAAATTTGATGGTAATATTAACTGGTTAGGGTGTAAAAATTACTACTTACAGAATAAAATTTTTATTAAGAGTATCGTAAAATCAAACCAAATATCTCACCCTTACAAGATCAGAGTCGTCTCTCTTGTCACTTTTTTTTCCTGGTAAAGGTGAAGACATTGTGTAATCTTCATTTTCACTGTGATCCATTTCAGAACTATCAAGCCTTTTAATAGAGATATTTGTAATCGTTATTACAATCAAGTAACCTTAAGAGCTTTTTCTGTTTTCTAATGTAGTTTGGTAACTTTAATGAGAAAATGGTTCATTCTTTTTAAAAGATGAATGTTTTATTCTATCACATTTAGCACAAATCAAGAAGCGACAAAGCTCATTTAATAGAGTAAGGGGATAAATCACAAATTTAATTTTTTCATAAGTCTTTTTGAAACCTAGTTCTTATTTTGGGGTGGAAACATAAAGCAAATTGAAACTTTTTTTTGTTAGTAATTAGACTGCTTACATTGCAACCTGTCCTATTCCTGCACCACTCCTGTCCCAATTCACTTTGTTTCTCTCTGCAGCACTAATCACCCTACAACATACAATATTCATTACATTTATTATTTACTGACTAGTCTTCCCCCATTAGAATGTAAGCATGGATCTTTGTCAATTTTACTTACCAATGTAGGCTAAGCATTTGAACTCTGTGCCTGGCATAGATCAGGTGCTCAATAAATACTTGTTAGCAGCACATGCTCTCATGCTTTTAAAAAGATCTAGTCTTCTGTCTCATCCTTATCTGCTTCTTAAAACTACACATTACTGAACCCTAAATCTCAATCTCTGGCCAGCGATAAGGTGATTGTTTTTTCCTTTTTTTTCTCGTAAGAAAAATAAAGGATCTTTTTAAAACTATTTTGTAAACGAAGTTTATATTTATACATATGTTGTGTGTGTGTGTGTGTGTGTAAAAAAGAAACAAAGGGAGAAGGGAGGGATGCTAAAGGAATATAATAGAATGAAGTTGTTCAACGTGCACTGTGCACATCTATGGAATTATCACCCTCTTCCTAATTAATGTATGCATATATATCACCCCTCTTCTAATTAATGTATGCATATATAAATAACTCAAAATGTACCAAACAGTATAAAATGATCTCCCTCCTAAGATTTTGTGTATTCTTTCAGTAACTTTTTATGCATATGCAAATAAGCGTGAATATAAATCCTTTTTTCAGAATAACATGTTCTATATGTGTATAAAAAACTTTATTATTCTCACTCATTGACGTATTATTGTGTTAGACAATGAGGTTGTAAACTGGTTATGTGTACTAATAGATTAACACCAACAAGCTAAAATAAAGTTTCTATTGAAAATAATCAGGCAAGTACACATGAATTTGTGACTACCACTGTTAAATGGGAAAGTTATACATTCACGCACATCCAAATGCTTGAGTTATACTGCTTTAGGTCTGTCAACCTTGGTTGGAATCAATTAAACATTCTTATATACTTGCCTCCCTTTTATTCTTTCCAGGAGAGCTTGGATTTGAGCTGCTGCTTGCATGCTTACAGTTTCCATTCGTGATTGATTTTGTTGAGATTTTTTGCCTGCTGATGAAAGTGGCTATTAACAGCTCCCTAGAACATTGGTTTGTTTTAGGCTGGAAATGAGAAATGCATGTCCTCTTTTTATTTGGTTAAAACCAAAAGAAACTTACATGCCAA